ACGCCTGAAACGATGAGTTCCAGTGCTGTCAGTTACTATCTGGAATATGTCCTCCACAGCGCTCAATTCCCAAAAGATTTTGAGAGCGGCTGAACCCGGCCTGATTATTGTAAGCTGTTAGAGTGATTTCGAATGTTATAAAACCTAAGGCGGTGAAACATCGGTGATAACTGCTGACAATTCAACGGACGGCCTTTTACCTGCTTAAAACGTTTTGCAAAATCGCATAAAAATATGTTGTTACTAATAGCATTTAAGTAACATGCAACTGCACCGAACAATTTGGGTGTCATTTGCATAGTTTAGCGTCTAGCACACGAAAAGAGCATTATAGAAGCAAGTAACCCATGTAGACTTTATTTTCATGCAAAGATTGCATAAAACGACACTCCTGCCCATGACCCGTGTATCAGAATTTCAATTTGGGCAAAGCAATAAAGTTTTGACAACAATAAAATTTGCAGTTAGACAGCATATCAAGACATTTAGGTGAGGCAAAGTCCAAGTATCTGTATCTGTTACAAGCATAGGTTTATGCGCTGTTGGATTTCAAAGTAATTGTATCAAAATATCAAGCCTTCCCACAAAAAACATGTGCTGGCTTTCACCAAGTGACTTTAGTGACATAAGTTCCGTAATTTTTTGGAATTAAGAATAAAAAACAACCCTACTCAGCAGTGCTGCCTGGAGCATTTATGTCTGCCTCTAAATGCAGACCTAAATGGGTGGTCAACAGCATAATTTTGATACTATGCATTGAAATGCTACTACTAACTATTCAGTAATTTGTCAGAAAAATGTCACGTAAGGTTTCAACGCACGTACCCTAAGTAGAGCCAACTGTCGACTCACCTGCTCCTGAGCCATAAGATCACTCTTTGGTCGTTCCGCAGCAGGACAGTCAGTTATGCTAGCCGACTCCGAAGACTCTTCACTTTGCTGCGTTTCCACTGCCATTGTCATCTGATTCTGAAGGGAGGCCAACCTCGCCCTCAGTCTTCTCTCCTCCGCCTCCGTGGCAGCCAGAACGCTCCGCGCATGCTCTCGTAGACCCCTCATTGAGCGCTGAGTCCACATTTCGGCTCTAGTGACTGCCTCACAGAGCTCTTGGGTAGACAGATCGACACGACTACTTGAGAGACTGTGATTGTTACATTGAACTGCTCCAAACTTTTCGTAGTTGTGAGCCAGTTCCGCAGAGTGGAGGAATTGTGGAATGGGCGTTTTCCTGCGATGCAAATAAACTTGAGACGACGTTGACCGAGGCATAGGTGAAGGTGGCGGAGTAGGTTGACGTTCCTGTACTGGACGATCGATGGTGACTGAAGCTGAAACGTGGAATTATTTTTGCAGTGAACAAGCATCAACCCACATTATGCTCAGCACTGTGAAGAGATGTAATTTGTAAAAATAGAAACTCCAAATGCTTCTTCCTGTGTGTAGTTCAGCAATATTGAAGCGAAATGACCCAAAAGCATCCTCCCATGAC